ATAAATAATATAGTTCAAAAAAGTTATGAAAATTGATTCATTCCTGATCAAAGTAATAACAGACCAATGTTTATAATGGAGGGTGTATACAATATTACTAATGCACGCCATTTGAATGAAGTACTTGTGGAATTTTATCAGTAGAGACTGACATTTGAAGAAATATTATAAGTTTGAAGAGCGTACGAAAAAAGAGAACGAGAGATTTTTCCACAGAAACCTTGAGTAGAAACTATTCATATACAAAAGGTGTAGATTGATGTACTCATACAAACAATCACATTCTTTACGCATAAACTCAAGGTTAAGTAGTTAAAGTGTCTTTAHAAGTCAAGTCATACATGACCGAATCACCAAAACAAACAGTTTAACTTTTTGAACTAAATCACGTCGCAAAATTTAACCTCCAAGAAATAATGAGTAAATTATAAACATTACAATACAACGATTAAGATTTATCAGTTAAATTTGTATTTTGAGAATCACGGCGAAACCACAAAAGCATCTCCAACAGAAAAAGCTCAAAACTTAAGTGGTTGATACGTCAACCATGCAGTGGGAAGACRATTTAATAATATATAGAGCAGAACATTGTTTCTGATGCGTTGATAGATTAAGATGATGTAAGATGATGTAAGTGAATATGATACTTGAAAGATTTGTACATACGATTCGTCTTCGTCAGATGAAGAAGAAGATGAGTACGCATCTCTTGGTCTTGGTTCTCGAAAATGCACGCTTGATTCATAATATGATGCCTGAGATGTCTCACGAGAGTCTCTATGGTATCTCCGGTGGTCATTGCCGTTGTATTCTTGGTACATTTTAAGTGAACACCTCAAATTCCTTCATGTTGTAAATCTTCCTTCAGCTTCACCACTTCAAAGCATCCGCCATCTTCGTTTTGGTTTACATCCGGGACACGTCTCGAATGTTAGTCCCAGATCTCTCGATGTATCACCGGATTTCACCGGATAACTTCAGTCTAGTCGTATGTTCGAAAAACTTGCGCAGCCAATAAATTGATAAATTTTTAAAGTTCTAGTTCAGACATTTTACTCTTACAGTGCGAATCGAAAAACCGTGGCCGCYTAKAAATATTTCGGGAATGTTTATTGTCCAATCTAGGAATCTTGWGGCGTACTATTGGTTGACTATAATCCATCTAATCTTATACTTCCTGGACACCCTTCCTGGTTTTTACTGTGACTCAGATGAGAACTATTTTCTAACATTGATAGACTTGCCTCAGACTCCGACTGTCGTTGGACTCACACACACACAAAAGGAAATTTCGAGAATCGAGTAGAAATCTGAAAAAAACGCGGCAAGTGGCTAAAAAATCTATAAGCTATTAATCAAGGGCGTATCCAGCTTCGTCGCTGTGAGAGGGGGAGGGGTGAGCGAGGGGGTTGAGGTAGAGACGGAGCCGTAGGGGAGGGGACCTAAATTAATCTWCGCACAATGCGAAGGGGGAGCAAGGATGGCCGAGCGGTTAAAACGCCGGTCTATCACCGCTGTGGTCCTGGTTCGATTCCCGGTCCGGGACTATATGTGATTTGAGTTTGTAGGCTGGTTCTCTTCCTTGTTCCGAGGGTTTTTCTCCAGGTCCGCTGGTTTTCCTCCCTCAGTCAAAAACTAGCTGCGAGGAGTGTCGTGTAGTAGTAAAATAATGAATGTTGAGGTAGTGACAGTGAGTGTGAGTGAATATATAGAGGGCCACAAGTTTATTAGTCTAGAGACTATTACGTGCTACCCTCTCAAAATAAAAGACTTTATATTCATATATTTATATGCAACGGTGAGATTTTCGTCCTTTATTTTTTTTAAATAATAATTTTTTTTTGTATAATTTTTTGTATAATTTTTTTTTTTTTTGATAATGCATGGGCACCACGACGAACCATTTCATACACCCTGCTATAATGAAGAGAAATCACCTGATGAAATACCGTTACACTAAAATGATTGGCGATAATTAAGTTTTCAGAATTCCTGAAAATGATTAATTTGATTTGCAATAAAATCACAGAACCGAGCAGAGTTCGTCTGGTATTCCAAATAATGCCGTATATACGAAATCCGTTCTAGAGTTCTTCAGAGTTTGCTACAATTTTATTCATAAATGAAGAAAGTTTAATTTTGATACTTGATCCGAGTAGATCCGCGAAAAACTCGATCAATTGATGAGCCGGCCCAAAAAGTGGAAAAAAGAATGGCCGCTATTTGGAGTGTCGATATGGTCACATCCGATGTGTGACTTTACAACTTAGCCAGATCTATTTTTAGTCGATGTCATTGTGTGACTCAGGTTCTGATAAATCAGCGGTTCTTTTAGCAAATATCTCCTACTATTTTTTGACACTMATTATAAAGCCATCATAATCCAAAATAGATCGTTCAATTTTWAAATTTTCATACTTGGAATTTTCCWTGTGCAACTCAGCCATTGGTTCATAGGACAGCATGGAGTCCTATTTTACACATAATAGTCAAAATAAAAAAATGAAATCGATAACTAAAACAAAGTTTCTTTTAGATATATTTATTTTTTCATCCCGGCCGGAAYTGTTGTATATCGGTAGATTGTTAGCAAAATGTAGTAATTAAAATGCGATATCACTATCTAAGGAGTTGGGAAACCACARACGATACTTTGAGGTTTGAAGCCAACCACAGGAAGGAGGATGGAAGTGAACTATGGCTGAGCGCCGAGAGGTTCGTTCAGAGATTACATATCGTATTTCCACATAATCCAAACCCCTAGACTAAATTTTGAGATTGATATCTAATCATGCTGTATAAAGATACTTTGTAAAAGCGTGATTATACGATATTTCGCTCTGTTTTTTAATTTCCTGGAGCCTCACAAGATGACAAAGTCTATACGYACCGTCTACAAAAACAAGTCAAAGGACAGAAATTGTGTTTAAACACGGGTCATATGAACAACTTATCGGCGTMATCAGTGTACATTTAGCTCCGTTTACGAAGGTGAATCTGATTTTACATCTTTTCCAGACAATCTATCCAATAGATCTATCCTTACTTCATATTTCTAAAGAGCGCCGCAGGCTTTAGATAATCTATGACTTCTATTGTAGAAAAAATAGAACGGTACTAACTTACCGAGTGAGGGTTTTCAGTTTTTTGCTGCGAGATTTTCGCCGTTTTTGCTGTGGCCATCTCGATACTGTACGGGGGAGAGATTCCGCTCTGGGCTGATTGTCTTTTCGCATTGGCTTGAAATGGTTTTACTTTGAGTCGTTGAGACCTAACAAYCCAAAGTGTCTATAATTAGTGATATCCAAACGGTAGTGACATCAACARGAATGTCGTTTGAGGTCTTTATTCGCCAAGACCTGTGACACAGCATATGGTAAACACTGAAAACTTCACGCCATAAAGTGACAATGAAGAACGATTCTTTTTACTGATAGGACAGGCTGTCTGTTATTTTTGCTATCCATTGACTCTTCACACAATACGCCCGGCTCCAAAGTGCAAGGTATCTTGATATTAMTATCCAAATCCTGTCTGATCTACCTTAAGCGTCTTTCTCAACACTCTATTTTTATGGGAAAATATGCGAAGCTATGCTCATAGATGACAAAACACATAGCTTYATTCATCTATTGTTGTTTCGGTGTACAAATTCAGTTTTGATGAATATGGCGCACCGTACTAACAAACTGCTTTTGAATTTCAAACAATTGAAAATCAACTCCATCCTGTACGTTTTTCCTTCATCCTAAGCCTGATCAGAACTTGTTCTAACATAAACTGACAAATTGAGTGCCTTTAGTAGCACGACAAGCATAGAAACCTCCGTTCATCGCGGCCGGAAATGGCGGGAATTTGCCGAGCGCACAATTTCTTATTATAGCCGCTGCGCAATTTCCTTCCCTTCTTCCGTAAAAAAGGTATCATAATGATATTTTTGTAAGACGGACTAGATAAATTCCGATAGGCATTTCAGTCTGATAGAGTGATTATCGAGCTGTAATATTATAGAATATACCCGAGGGGTAATTTTGCAAATATTTGTAGTTGATTCACGATAGTGCGTGTGCCAGTAATTGAATTAGATTCAGATGCATGCTTCTCATTTGATACAGTAAWACAGAAAAGTATTTTCATGGCGAAGTTTGGAGAGCTTGAAGTTTGGCGTGAAAGCTGCTGTAACATTCCGGTCCTATTCTTCGGCAAAGATCATCTGTAGAGAAATTAATTAACTCTTAAAGGAGTTTATAATGTATTTGTAATGACAAACGCTTGGTTTTAAGCGAGATAAGAAACACTCTCCAGATGTTTTAATGYTTAAAAGGATTTCTATCTCAGTCCAGGAGTATAAGCTTCTCTCAGGCAGTTCCATCAATATAAACAAACGATAATGTAGAAAGACAAATCCATGTAGTTCTCATATGTTATTGAATGTAATTGCAAAGTTGCATTCTATCAAAACAAGGATCCTTCGTTTGAAATCTCTGCTTGTATGTCTGTTCGTCTGCCTACGCGGGGAAACGGGTTTCTATGACTGAGGTACGGACAAGTATAACGAACGATACTCACAATGTTTCATGCAAATTTGTTCTTAATTTCTTTTTCAAAAGTTGTGTGTTTGTTGTCTTATAACTTATATGTTTGCTTCTATGTAGTTCTTTATAAAACATATCAAATCAAGTCTTCATTCAAGCAAAAAAGATGGCACACCGGTGCACCTCATTAAATACTTTGTATTCACAAAACGATAAATAGCCCTGAGGTGCATGCTGTATGTCGTAGCTCTTATCTATCAGTTACATTCCTTGGCCATTATGGACGCTCTCTGGCGTGATGTTACCCTCCCGACTGCCCAACCCCCCAAAAAATACCCTGTCAACAATCTCAACTGATGAAGAGACAAACCAGTTGGCCAAAAGAAAAAAAAAATCAACAAGCCTAAACAGGAAAGGRATCTCAGCCAGTGGTCATGGCAGAACTCGAAGTAACACATTGAATTACAAGACCATAGTCATGAAGTCTCTTTGTTTTCAAAATGGAGGTCGTCTATTAATGGCGCAGTGAAGTCATTACATTTAAGATCGTGTTTTTTCTCCAAGGAGAGGTCATCACCACCTTCATTTGTACACTTTTCTTTCATATGCACGCTARGAATTCATTGTCGACTAAGCAAGATTAATGACTGAATGGACTATTGGTATCCCATTCTCACAGGTGAAGAAGRTACACGATGTCAATTGAATGATCCTTAGAAACGAGTTACAAACGCGACAACTATGCGCTCTTAGAGTGTAATGGACCAATCTAAAATTGGAATGATGTAATTCGCGCTAACTACCAAGATTATTGAAACAAATGAAGTCTGAATGCCATATCTCAAAAAATATCCAAGTTAAGTGGCATGGTAAAAAATGGAAAACATACACCTTTGCCTCACCTGTACTTACAAGGAGATTAATCCAATATTATATAGAAACTGAATATATCGTCCTCTTGATGAACACTGTTGCGGTAAGTCTCGCATAACAATGTTCAACAGATCTAGGCCAAGRCAAGTTACGTTTCACCACAGCTAAAATCAARCATCGACGACRCAGGAGCTATGAAGGGTACACCAAAAGACCGGAAAAGGATGCTGCCGATTGGTCCCGAGTGTTGTGATGACTGTGTTCTTCCATGGTAGTGGTCTATATATATAGTYATGTAAGCCCACACCGAGGTCATTACGGACCATTTACAAGTACTGCACCACACACATTACTGTGGTCGTCAGAAGTCTGTGATTGTTGACTTAACGACATTCTCGTTAGATTGCTATCTAATGTTTCTCTTTGGTACCCTTTAAATRTCATAGAAATGGATTCAGGATCATCCGTTCTTTGGATGAAAATCTTCTGTTTAAGCTTGGTTTAGTATGCGATAAATCAGTAATAATACCTAATAGTTTAAAATATGAGGATATTTAGCTAGTTATCAGTCTATCAAGGGTGAGATACACAGATAATACATCGTCATTCCGTGAAAAGTGCATTAATCATTTCAAGTACGAAACTCTGGTAGAATTTCGTTAAAATATTTAATTTCAAATTCAGTGGAAATATCTTCACGTTCGTAGATACTAGCGTCACTGCTTGTTAATCATGCAGGTAATGAGATAATGGTTGCTAATTACACCTCAAAACTGAAAACTTTATCTAGAAATCAAAAACCGAGTTCCTCCCGTCCGGAATAYYACGTRATGCCATTTACTGCACATGCGCRGTATMTGTAGCCAAAAGAATTATCTGCAACACGAATGTCATGAAAATCAGCTAAGAACAAGGTTTGTTCACAGTGAATTTTTGTTATTTAACAGTTCAATAGTTAAAAGAACAGAGAAAAAGACAATATTTACTCMCGTTCTGATATGTTTGGAAATCGTAATCTTGTCGGTTTGTATTCGGAGTGATATCGGTATTATTCGGGTAACGGTCGGGCTTATGTGTATCTGTTTCTTGCACGTCTGTTAGGTC